GAATCTTTGATCATTTTTTTTTTTTTTTTTTGGTTCTTTAGGTAGCTCCATCTTGGTGGTGTCGAGAAGCACTAGGTCACCAACCTTAAACTGGAGAGGAACGAATCGACTCTCTTTGGCAAGTTGTTCAAGGTTCTTTGCATTGNGGCTTCTCTAGCGCGCTTGGCAAGAGTGTTCATTCTTGAGAAGAAGGTGGACGTGATGTTGGTTGCGGCAAGAGGTCTCGATATGGTCAACGAGTTGGGAGTGTCTGGGTTGAATCCATAGTTGATCATGAATGGTGTAAGGCCAGTAGTTGCGTGCTTAGAGTTATTGTAGGCAAACTCTAGAGTTGGCAAAGTCAGGTCCCATTCAGGCTCTTGATCGATGTACATTCTGATGGCAACTTCAATTGTACGATTTGCACGTTCACTCTGTCCATTGGCCTCTGGATGATACGATGTTGTGTAGGCAAGCTTCACACCAAGACGCTTCAACAACATACTCCAAAAGTCTCCTGTGAAACGACTGTCCCGGTCYGATATGATCTTGCGTGGCAAACCATGGTGACGGAACACGTTGTTGATGTAGACGTCAGCCGCTTCCAYAGCACCATAAGTCGTCTTGAAAGGGTAGAAGTGCGCCATCTTGGAGAGTTTGTCTGTGACGGTCATAATGGCATCGAATCCAGACAAGGTCAGGGGAACTGGTCCAATAAAGTCCACTGTAACCATTTCCCAGCAGCGTATCGGTGGAGGAATTGGAGACTTTGGGATGGATACTGGAGCTTTAGGTTTGACAAGTTGACACTTGTCGCAGGAAGCACAATACTGAACGACCTCTTCATAGATGTTGGGCCAGTAGAAGTTACGAGTAATGAGTTCGTAAGTGCGATCACGGCCAAAGTGTCCTGATATTGGAGAGTCATGACTTTGTTCAAGAATCTWCTGCTTGATAGATGTGCATGAAGAGGGAACTACTAGTCGGACCTCATCACTATTAGGATCTTGGTCGTTGGTCACATCACGGAAGTACAACAGGTCGTCAATCAGTAGGTAAGGCTGGGTGGGGAGTCCCTTCTTGATCTTGTCAAGGACAGCAGAAGTAGTCTTGTCCTTCTCGTAGGCCGTTGCAAGCGACTGTCGATCCGTTGGAGAGAGATGTACTTCCACCAGCTTGTAGTCGGCTCTCCGAGACAGGGCGTCAGCGACAATATTCTGTTTACCTTCTCTGTAGTCCATCTCGTAGGGGTATCGTTCAAGTATCTCCAACCATCTTGCGAGTCGGCCATCTGGTTGCTTGATATCTTTGAAGTACTGGAGACTCTCATGGTCGGTGATCAGTTTGAAAGTGGTAGGACCGAGTAGGTAGTGTTTCCATTTCTTGAGAGCGTAGATCACAGCGAAAAGTTCCTTTTCCCGTGTTGGGTAGTTGAGTTCAGCGGACATCAACTTCTTGCTCTCAAATGCAACAGGACGGACACGACCTTGGTCATCAACTTGGGATAGGACAGCACCAAGCGCATACTGAGAGGCATCAGTTTCCACGATGAACGGACGGGACATATCAGGATGTGCCAATACCACTGTGTTGGTCATCAGTTGTTTGATTTGGTCAAAGGCCTCTTGCTGCTCCTTGCCCCATACAAATGCTGATTGCTTGCTCATTACATTGGWCAATGGGATCATTACTCTAGAGAAGTGAGGAATRAATTCTCTATAGTAATTCACCAGACCATGGAATGACATGACATYGTGATGGTCCTTAGGGATTGGCCAGTCGGCAATGGACTTGAGTTTAGAATCGGAAGGGCGAATTCCCGATTCTGAGATGACATGGCCGAGGAACTCAACAGACGTCTGGAAGAGTGTGATCTTCTTCTTGTTGATATAGAGCTTCTCTTGGCGGAGGCGATCCAGTACCAATCTGACGTGTCGGTCATGTTCATCTCGAGTCTTRGAGTGGATTAAGATGTCGTCCAAGTAAACGCAGACGAAGGGCATATCATGGAAGATACTGTTCATCAAACGCATAAACGTGGCGGGAGCATTGCTTAAACCAAAGGGCATTACGGAGTAGGAGTACTGGCCGAGCTTGCAAACGAATGAAGTCTTGGGAATTGACTCCTTGTCCATCTCGACCTGGTAGTAGCCAGACTTGAGGTCGAGTAGAGAGAAGTATTTGGAACCGTTCACTTGGTCAAGAAGGTCTTTGATAAGGGGCATAGGGTACTTGTCCTTTATTGTCTGCTTATTGAGCAAACGATAATCAATGCATAGTCTTCGAGATCCGTCCTTCTTTTTGACAAAGAGGATTGGACTTGCATAAGGAGAATTGGACGGTTGTAGAATACCCTGGCGGAGACCTTCCTTGACTTGCTTCTCAAGTTCCTCCATGTCAGATGGCGACATACGTCGGACAGGTTGAGAAGGTGGGCGAGTGTTGGCGTGTTCCATGATCACATGCTTGATGGCTCGGCCTTTGATTTGCTGGACATGAGGGATCTCTAGGACAATAATGTCCTTGTAGTCCTCCATGACTTTGAGTGAGTCCTTCTCAAGGTTCGACACGACATTGATCTCATCGGCCTGGTCAGTGGCAGCGGTAACCGGTTTAATAACGCACAAATAGACTTCATCTACTTGTTTCCTTCTAATGCTTCTACTCAGATGAGTAATAGACATTAGTTGGACAGGTGATTGCGACGGTTCAGGATGAGGCGGCAAAGTTGAGAGCTTATGGGAGGCGGAGGATGCTTTAGTCCTGTCGTCCAAGGTAGAGGGAGTGATGGCCTCGTTCTTGGAAGAAGGAGAGTAGGCGTCAGGCATGTGAGGGTGTTGGTAAACCAAGYGGTTGTTTCTGTCAGTGATCCTCAGACCGGCTGACAGGAAGAATGGGACACCAAGTACAAGGTCGAATGGGATATCGGCGATGTAGGTCGGTGTGTTGATGCTCTGACCATAGAAGGTCAGAGGGAGGTTGGCAACTCCAATCAAAGGTAGCTCGTTGCCGTTGGCTACCAGTGCAGASTTCCCTCTTGGAAGTCTCTTCCAGCTGACGTGAAGACTCTTTGCCTTGTTGGTATTGATGAAATTGGCGGTGGCACCAGTGTCCAGAAGGGCTTGGACTATTTGAGAGGTGATCTCAACGGTGATGGTAGGTGCCGCAAGCGAGTCTTTGGCATCAGCTAGGGACAGAGATGGTTTACTYAGACTTGGAGGTGCCGCAGCACACTCCGTCCGCTGGGAGGGGCTGTCGGCAGCGAAAGCAAAGTTTCTGTTCTCGACACTTCTGCTTTTCCTCTGGCGTGAGTTTGGTTAAACCCATAGTCTTCTCTGGTCGATTAGACTTGTTGCTCACTGTCTTGGTCTTGATAGTAGCCACCATAGGTTCCTCTTCTTCATCGGACCACTCATCAGTTGGGGAAACTGCATTRATGGTGATTGGGTTTGACTTGGAACCTGGTTGTTGACCAGACTGCTTGGTGTGGGGCTTGCCTCCTGAGGATCCACCACTAGATCTTGACCACTCATAGTGTGCTCGGTCCTTCTTSGTACAGAAGTTGACWGTTCTGTCTAGAGTATCAATATCGTGTTCATCGAGCCTATCAATGATGTCTCTTGGAAGGGCGTGTCGTAGAGCAGATAGGAGGAACACTTCGTCAAGGGATGGGTCTGAAGAAGCTATAGTAATGAACGCAGCATAGAACTTGGCAAAGGAACCATAGTTGCGGACGTAGAGGCGGTTGAGCTGGTCTCGAACTTCGACATCATGATTGGGTGGTCGGTACAGAGTCTGGACCTTATGCTTGAAGGCTTCCCAGTTCTTCATGCACGGGTCATTCAACGTCTTCCACTGATAACACCGAGCCATTAGTGCATCCTTGGTGTTGTTGTATGCATACAACACTCTAGCTTCATTGTTGATAGAAGCCAGATCACAGTGGACCTCCATTGCCACGAACCATCGCACTATGTCTCCATACGCCTCGTTGCCGGACAGAGGGRCAGGGAGTTTGGATTTGATAGGTCGGTGGTTGGCAGGAATTGAACTGGAAGCTTCAGACTCGCTGTCTTTATCAGACACTGGGTATGGCTTGTTTCCGGCTTTGTAGAATAGAGGGATGTCGGACTTAGTGGATGTGCCTCTCTTGGGGGTCAGAGCTGAAAGTTTGCCCTTGGTCTCCATGTCATCAGTGATCAGTTCGACTAGGACAACAAGTTCACCTAACTTCCTCTCCATATCTTCCATTCGAGAGTCAACGTTGGCTGTAATGAAGTCAATGTGTTCCTGCCATTCTGGTATTGGTAGTTTCTTTTGGGCCTTTTCTGACATCTCACCGGACTTGGGTTGAGAGGAAGAGGATGATGATGATGATGATGATGAAWTAGTAACGGTAGTGTTGGATTGAGGTTGAAGTTCTGCTGTGCCAGAGTTACTCTCTCCGGCCGGAGCAGCCTCAATCTTTGGTTCATTAGYGTCAGACATGTTTGTACAAACAACTAAACTGAATTCTTAACGTGTAATGGCTTAAAAGAACAATTACAAAGCTTCAATCGGTTGGCCGGTATACTCGAGCGCACGAGGGCATCAAAGTAGTCCCAACTTCCAATCGTTACAGTGTACGAGCACGATACGCAGTCTAGAGTTACTAGGTAAGAGACAAGGGTCCTTACACTTCCGTCTAGATTTGGTTAGGGGCGTTCTAACAAGTTATACAGCTAATAGGCAGTGGTCGTTGAAGCACAGGCGATTCACGTCGGTTGAAGAAAACGGGAGTAGGGCCGCTTCAACCAGAGTACAATCTAAACGAACAGATGCTACCAATTGATACAGGGGTATGCCTAKATCAATACAAAGGGGTGGARAATACTGAGATGAGAGTAACTTTGTACAAGTCAGTCAGTACRCTTGTCGAGAGTAGGATATATAGAGATTGTATATAATGAAGTGATAGACAATCGATGTATCTCTTAGTCGAGAGTAGTAAGTTGAATSTTTATTATTTACCTTTGTACAAGTCAGTCAGTACRCTTGTCGAGAGTAGGATATATAGAGATTGTATATAATGAAGTGATAGACAATCGATGTATCTCTTAGTCGAGAGTAGTAAGTTGAATGAGCCTTTTTCGATATATCTGTAGGCACCTCCGTGTGGACCTGCCTATTCCGTAACGTTGTGGGTGATAGAATAAAATGAATTTCTATTATATTTTTTTTCGTGTCTACTATTTTGAATTCGTCGTGCCTACTTTTCAGAATAACCCCTGACTACAATCATTCTTTAACGATGGACTTCTCAGGAGTTATTAGTAGAAGAGAAGCACGCAATCATAACGAGAGATTTGTGGATGATGAAGAAGTAGAAGATGAAGACACTCAAGATCTTGGTGATGACGACGATGCCATGATAGAAGACTCACCAGTATATAAATACTTGGATGCTCAAACGGATGATGCCGCCCGCGCGCTCTCAGGGTTCACTGCACCAGAGATTCTATCCTACTACACCGATTGCAAGTCCCATATAGTGCATGAAACAGTCGCAAGAAAAGGAAGACACCCTATTGTGTCAGAGCTGGATGCCCTATGTCTGTTGCTCATTGTCTATGTCTCTGGAGACTCGCTAGAGAACATTGCAGCCTCCTCTACGTTCAAGGTTGGTGCCGTACACCGAGCCGTCTGCAGGGCGAGGGATTTTCTATTCGACGCATTGAAGGCGGCCAACGACGACCTCGAGAGACCGCTGCCAGACAGTGTTTGAGACCGAGCATATTATACTACTCGGTTCAAATAAACGAGATATCAATATCATTCGGTTCGAATAATTCCTTTCTCGGTCGTGTGGATGATCCAAGATTGTAACCGAGCTCGGTTACCCGAATATCGCCTTTAACCGATATTCGACCGGATAACCGATTAACCGGTACTACACTGCTCATGAATACGTACAGTATGTACTCTCAGTAAAACAAAAATGTTATTTTTTGATCTGATTCATTGAAAAGGCTTTTGTATTCCTCGATATCTCGTCTCCAATTAGAGCTTCATGTATCCTGCCACTGATTGTTTCATCATCCTGCTTCAACCCAGACAACAACAACATCCACCAAGGTGACATCATCAACTTCAACAGAGACTACAAAGAAGTACAGTATTGGATGGAAACATTRTTTTGAACCAACCAAGACTAGTCCACTACTAACAATGCATGTCTGTGGTTGATAATCATTAGGATCACCAAGATGTCTAAAGGAAGCCATTTGGTCATTTCTATCAATAATATTAATTTAAGTTTCAAAAAAATGAATGAGACTTGTGTTGTTCACTAGATTGAAAATGCACATATCTCACCCTCGGTTATTCGATCCGGTTTTGATTAAAAAAACAGCTGGTCGGTTCGAATAATTGAACTTCCTTCGGATTGGTAAAAGGGTCCGGTTCGGTTTATTCGGTCTCGGTTAGTCGGATATCCGAACTCGGTCTCAAACACTGCTGCCAGACGACAACCCTCATGACCTCGGACTGATAATTGATTCAACAACGATCCCCGTCTGCAAACCTTCTGGGAGGTTCGCTGATGCCAAGATCTACTGGGATGGAAAGAACAAGACGTATGGAGTCAAGTTTGAAGTTGCTGTCCTGGCCAACAAGCCTCACTACGCCATCTTTACCAGTAAACACTATCCTGGATCGGTGCACGACTACTCCATACACAAGGCCGAGCATAAGACATATACCCAGTACCTCAAGAAACTCCCTACCGAGACTGGAAACACCACCAGCCGCAGGTGGTCCGTCCTCGGCGATAAAGCATACAATGGTCCCCCAGGTGATACACGAGGCATTCGTCGGTGTGCCTTGATGAAATCAACGCAACTCTCGAGGGCCACACAGCACCAGATCGATGTGAACATTGAACCAATACCTGGACGATATAATCTAACAGACATGGCTGTGTCATTCGCGAAGCTGAACTTCTATTTATTTTTTTTGATTTTCCATTTTTTTTGTTGTCTTGTCTACTTGCTGAATGGCTGCTGTCTATTTTTCTGAATAGCGCTGTCCACAGAGATAAATAGATACAGATATGAACCTAGATAATATATTTGCAGCAGCAGATTGTCGCAGGGCAGTAGAGATGCATGTTGGTGATGAGAAGGTACACGATTCCGAAGCCGAGGACATTGAAGAGACAGAAGATGTGATGCTTGAAGCGTCACCTCTCTTTAAAGGTCTTACATTGAAACCAGTGCAGCAAGTTGTCAAGCTGACATCCAAAACAACACTGGAGATTCAAGACCTGTACCGTGACTGTCAGCCCGAGATCACCGAGGAAACGCACGACAGAAAAGGAAGGAAGAGGAAGATCAGTTACCTCGATAGTATCGTTCTCTTGTTGGCGCTCTACACAACTGCGTCCAAGATCCAAGTACTGGCAAGCATGGTCACTGGATGGTCGGCCTCAACAGTCCACGACTCAATCTGCATCAGTGTTTGAGACCGAGCTTATTATACTACTCGGTTCGAATAAACGAGATATCAATATCATTCGGTTCGGATAATTCCTTACTCGGTCGTGTAGTTGCTCAAAGATTGTAACCGAGCTCGGTTACCCGAATATCTCCTTTAACCGATATTCGACCGGATAACCGATTAACCGGTACTACACTGCTCATGAAAGTGTACTCTTTGTAAGACAACAATGTTATTTATTGATCTGATTCATCGAAAAGGCTTTTGTATTCCTCGATATCTCGTCTCCAATCAGTCTTGAGCTTCATGTATCCTGCCACTGATTGTTTCATCATCCTGTTCCTCTTTTTAGTCCAAAGGTCCTGTACACCAGAGAACAACGATTCCACTCCAGCTTCAGCAGCTGGGATGATGAATATCCTTTTGACAAGCTTGAACAGAGTGGGATACTGATATTGGTTCGTCTTCCACCAAGAGATGATCTGTGCCCCATCATGTTGGTCTTCATTAGGTATTAAAGCTCCATTCTCTAAGTACCTGTCAAGCTCTGATGTTGGACTATTCTTAGTTGGTTCAATATCATGTTTCCATCCAGTACTGTACTTCTTTTTAGTCTCTGTTGAAGTTGTTGATGTCACCTTGGTCGATGTGGTTGTTGCCTGAGTTGAAGTAGCGAGTGGTGCGGGAAGAGAGAGGACATCATCTGCAGGGAGGATTTGAACTTGGAATTCGACTAGTCGTCTTCCCATCTTCTTCAAAGAGATCTTGGATGCTGCTGATCTCTTTCCGTTGGCATTCAGTTGGGCATCTKGACATCAGCATCTCCGAT